CCTGTGTGCATCCTTCTGGCACACAATGCCGCTTTCAAGGTTAGGAGTCTGGAGAGCATGTTTTCCAGATGTGCTTCAGGGGTTTTCCCCAGAGTTTCTTGTGACAGAGAACTATTCAGGTGCCTAGGCTGCTTCACAACCTAAGCAAGGACACTCCCGTCCTGGTACATATGATGTGATTTCTGAGGATGGATTGCTACCGTGTTTCATGCATGGGACGATGCAGGCACACCATGTGCAGCTGCAGTCGAGCATGGCTGTTTAAGGGCAGGCACGCAAGGTCATAACACTCAGGCATCCTCTGTCAGTCAGGGCTGACCTGCTCTCATCGGGAGTCTACACACACAAGTGTCCCTTCCAGGAACAAAACTACCATGAGCTAAACAGAACAACACAGCCGGAGGCTGCACTAGAACAAGACTGGTTCCCATGTGCACACACACACATACACACATACACACATGCATGCATGCACATGGACATGCACACGCACACCCATGCGCACACCAAAGAACCATGTGTCCTCCAAAAGAAGAAAACCTTTGCCTTGTGTTTCAAATTAATACTTTGATTTTAAAAGCACTTCTTGTTATCAGCATGATATGTCATAACACTACAGGCCCCTTTCTTTGCAGTCTTTCTGATATTTCTAACTAAACTCGTATATTTCCTACATTCTTTTCAGTTATCCAATATTAATAATAGCAATGAATATAACTAGCTATCCAAAATGCTGTTTCAAAACAACCATCATCGTGTTTCTGCTCACAGTGGCGAGTGTACCTAGTTAACTCCTCTAGAACATCTCTCTAGGCACCCCAGCACAAGAAAAGGGGAAGCAAGCTGTGCCGGGCTGAGGCTGATCTCACAGGCAGCGCTGAAAACACACCGCAGACCCACAGTCATCAATCACTCACCAATCTTACTTTGCATCTTGGCTACAAAAGAAAATGGGATTTGTTTCCCTGAAGAAATATGTCACTGCTCTGCCTGAATTATTAAGCTTTACTGTTACCAAGAGAAACAGTCAAGGAAAAAAATTGGAAAATAAAAATAGAGCCAGGTCGCCACCTACAGTCAGAAGGCAGCATTGCTGGGTCAGGGAGCATTTAGTTCACAGCCGAACATAAGTAAACATCATAGTTCTTTTAAAAAAGCAAAACATGTGACTAAAACCACAATTATTTTTTAAATATAATAATAATAGTATACATGTAAAGAGCATTGGAATGAATATTTGTATATATATATTTTAATATATTTTAATATAGACTATATTTTAATATAGACTAGAAAATTATCTTAATTATTCACTCTAACCCTAAAATGTAAGACTTTGAAATACAATCAAATAGCTCTCCCCACTTCATATACACTTTTCAGTAGAGGAAACAAAGGTTTCATCTCTAAAAGCAGCTCCTGTGCATTTTCACCCAGTACCTGGAGTCCCTGCATCCTACACATTCCTTTTGCTTACGATCTCTGTTCCTTTTGCTTGAGTCCTCTAGAGACCTGAGCGTCAAGAAGCACACACTTGGTTCCAATGACTGAAATAGATGGCATTAAAGGAAAAAGCAGCTTCGGCTGCAAATGAACACAACGGCTGAATTAGGGGAGAGACACATATGACATTACAATCTGGGAACTTCTTATAGTCAAGGACATCTTGGGGAAGGTCTTTAAGGAGAAGCTGCTTGGATTTCAATCATGCAGAAATGAACTTTTCATGGAAAATAAATGTTTTTGAAAGTCAAGGTTTATTTTGGGGGGACTCATATGCTTTTCTTATCATAGAAAAATATACGTAAATTCTTCATCTCAGTTCTTCTAAGTCTTCTAAATCAGCAGCATAGTCCTTGTGTGGAGGGAAAATAAGTCCTAAGACCTTCGTTTGACAGAGATTCACAGTTTTGCAGGGAATAATGACCTAGAGCTGTTTAAGAGCCTGTGGCCCCAGTCAAACACCAGACAGAGCTCCAGGAGTCCAGTCAAAGAGAGAAGAAGGGATTCTATGAGCAAGTGCATCAGGATCATGACGGGGAAACCTGCTGAGATGACCAAACCAAACTAGAGGGAACTTATGAATGTTGGATCAATGGCTGTGGAACCTGCATGGGACTGGACTAGGCCCTCTGCATAGTGAGACAATTGTGTAGTTTGATCTGCTTGGGGCGGGGGCCCTGGCAGTAGAATCAGAATCCATCCCTGGTGCATGAGGGGGCTTTTTGGAGCCCACTACCTATGATGGGACACCTCGTGCAGCCTTGAGACAAAGGCAAGGGCTTGGACTTGCCTCTACTGGATGTGCCTCCCCATTGGAGGCCTTGCCTTCTTGTGGTGGGGAGTGGGAATGGGTTGGGGGGAGGCTGGGGGCGGGAGGAGGGAAGAGGGGGATCTTTGATTGGTCTGTAAAATGAACGAAAAATTTTTCTTAATAATAAAAAAAAAAGAACCTGTGGCCCTCACAACACAAAGCTAGCTAGGAAAATACCCACTTAGGGTAGGAGGTCACCTGAAGCAACTGTGCATTCTCTCAAGGCCAGGCCTGGGGCACTGAAGGGGTCCACCTTTTCTGATCACACCTTACAAACTACTTGCTTCAGTATTAAAAACTATAGAAAAATTATTGAAGACTCTTTGTGAATTTCCACAGGAGCCAGGATGCTGATCGTTCAACTTGCCAACACAGCCTGCTTCCCAATGGAAGGAACGCTAATCCAATCTTGTGTTCTCCAGCCTGTGCAGGGACCGCTAGTAAGCCCAAAGACTTAAAATACACTTACTGTAAGTAGACATGGGACTTCTGTGCACTGATAAGAACCTCAAAGACAAAAAGCAAATAGCATCTTCTCCCTTTAACTAAATAATTTATTAAAAGCTTTAAATGGGTCCAGTTTCTTAGTGGGGTTTAAAGTATTACAGAGACTCAGCCATCTTTAATTTCCACCATTTATTTGATCGACATGTATTAAATGCCTTGATTCTATTACACCAAGGCTAGTGCTGGGAATTTTAAAAAAGAAGCTTGATAGCTCATGCCAGCACTCAGAAGGCTAAGTCAGGAGGATTGCCATGAGTCTGAGACCAACCTGGGCTGCATAGTGAGTTCCCGGTCAACCTGAGCTACAGTGAGAACTTGTCTCAACAAACCAACAGCAGTAAGCCACAGTCCATACACAGTTTTAGGAGCTTTCATGTGCAATACATGTTTATCAAAATAAGGCCTCTGTTGTTTTCAGCTTTCAAAAATGGCCTGTTTTTCCCAGCTAACTTTTTTTCCTGTCCTGTACAATAGGCACCCAACAATACCTGCCAGCTATATTTCATCTGATCTCCTCCATGCCTGTCTCTGGACAGGATATAACAGGCTATGGGCATGCAAAGAGTGAAGAAAAATCACAACCTGAGATGACAGTTAGGAGGAAGACAGTGGGACAGTGGGACTGAAGGAGGAAGCAGACTGACTGCCTAAGGTCACAGACAGAAGGACGAGGCCCAGCAAGTCTAACAGCAAGCTAATATCCCCCAGGGAGACCCTGGAACCAGACATGCATTTATCCTGTGCTGTGCCCCACTGCAGCCCTGGGGGGTGAACCTAGGGTCTCATGCACATCAGACAAGTGCTCTTCCACTGAGCTAAATCCTCAGCCCCTTCTCGTGTTTTATGAAGCATGAGCTCACTAGACTCTCTAGCCCAGCCTTGAGATCCTCCAGCCTCAGCCACCAGGCCGCCTGATCATTTAGGCTGCTCTTTCAACCTTCCACCACTTGTCTCTGATTCTTCGGCCATCTGTGTAGCATCCTCTAACCCTCCCAGGAGCTCCTGCTGCCCTGCAGCTGGGAATACCACATGATTCCTCATGTCACGTGGAGTTCCCATGTGGGCTGGGTTCTATTGATGACGCAAAGCATTCTCCTGTCAGTCTTCACCCCGAGCATCCCACGCTAGTCTATGTGGATGGACCTTGAGTAGAGAAGACAAAGCAACCACTCCGCTTTCTGTTTCCAGACAGCAGCTGGCTGACACAAATCTCTCTCCGTTCTGTGAGCCCATCCTATTGAGAATGCACTTGAAATGAAACCAAACACAGTCCTTCTCCACAAAACCTGTGTGAAAGTCCACCATTCCATTGCACTTGTCCTGACTCGGGACACCTTTGTCTCACACTAGTGGATTCTCAGACCAATGCAAATTGTTTTGCTTTGGGTTTTGTTTGTTTTTGAGAACCAGAGGGCCTTGAACTCACTAGATAGCATAGACTGGCCTTAACCTCCTAATTAATCCTCCTGCCTTCACTTCCCAAGTGTTGAGATCACAGGCATGAACTACCATGGCTGGCTCAAATTAGAAATTGTTAAATTTATCTTATAGCTACTTTTAGTAAAGTTAATGTGTGTCCAGTATTCATTTGGATATCAGAACATCTTTTCAAGAAGGTGAGTTGTGAATACCAGCAAATGATGAATGCAGACCCTCAACCGCAGAGGCCAGTCAACAGCACTGAGACAAAGTGTGATGCCGAGCAAGCACTCTCAGTGGGTGCACAGGATGGCAATGTCCCTTTTGTCCTAATAAGACTGCCTTAAACAACGATCTAATCTCAAAGCAAAGATTCTCAAAGGCCAACATCTGATCCCAAACAGAAGCCGAGTGGGAGAAATAGCTGCCTTTCGCCCAGGGAAAGACTTCTTTGAACAGCTTCACATATGACAAGACAAAAAGGAATACCCTCTGTGAGCCTGGAGAAATGAACGTTATCAAGTTAAGAATGAACATTGAAGGGCTAGGGAGGTGGCTCAGTGGTTAAGAGCACTTGCTACATTCACACTCAGTTCCCAGCATCTGTGCACACATGCGCGCGCGCGCACACACACACACACACACACACACACACACACACACACACAATTAAAAATAAAAAACTTTAGAACAAAAGGAATTTAAAATGGATCCACAGCCTTAAAAAATAATAATATGAGCAATGCAAAACCAAACTAACCATTGTTTAGGACTGCTTTTGGGGAATCCTTCGGCTTCACAATTTGTTTCACTTTTGTGGGTTTTTCTGAATTTGTGTCTTTCTTCCCTTTCCTCTTCAGAGGCTGAGGAGATGAGTTATCGCTGGAGCCGACAGTTGACTTAGATTGGCGATAATTTCCCTAAATGACAAAAGATTAGACCCTTACTATTGGCTAGTAGACTCTCAATGGTATTCCCAGTACATACATGTGGTTAACTAGTGATCCCAGGGACAGGACCCTGCATTAATTTCCAACTGTTGGCCTTGGTACCACATTAACTGCAAACACATCTTCCCAGAGGCAGGAGGAAGGTCTGGCAGAGAAAGAAGACTAAAAATAATCACTCACAATTGGCACAGGTACCAGGCAGGCCATAAAACTATTTCCCTTGGGGCTGGGGATGGAGCTCAAAGGCACAGTGCCTGCCTAGCACTTGGTGAGGCCAGAGTCCATCACCATGGCACACACAGAAAAACAAAAACAAAAAACATTCCTTGGCTGGGGAGAGAGATGGCTCAGTTGGTAAAGTGCTTGCCCACACAGGCAGGAGAACCAGAGTTCAAATCCCGAAACCAATGGGAAAAGCCAGGCATGGAGATGGTACTTGGTTTTTTTTTTTTTAATTTATTTTAATTTATTTTGCAATACAATTCAGTTCTACATATCAGTCACGGATTCCCTTGTTCTCCCCCCTCCCGTCCCCCTCACCTTCCCCCCAACCCCCCCACCCCATTCCCATCTCCTCCAGGGCAAAGCCTTCCCCACAGACTGAGGTCAACCTGGTAGACTCAGTCCAGGTAGGTCTAGTCCCCTCCTCCCAGGCCGAGCCAAACAATCCTGCATAGGCCCCAGGTTTCAAACAGCCAACTCATGCAATGAGCACAAGATCTGGTCCCACTGCCTGGATGCCTCCCAAACAGATCAAGCCAATCAACTGTCTCACCCATTCAGAGGGCCTGATCCAGTGGGGACCCCTCAGCCATTGGTTCATAGTTCATGTGTTTCCATTCATTTGGCTATTTGTCCCTGTGCTTTATCCAACCTTGGTCTCAACAATTCTCGCTCATATAAACCCTCCTCATTCTTGCTAATTGGACTCCCAGAGATCCACCCAGGGCCTAGTCATGGATCTCTGCATCCAGATCCCTCAGTAGTTGGATGAGGTTTCTAGCACAACAATTAGGGTGTTTGGCCATCCCATCACCAGAGTAGGTCAGTTCGGGCTGTCGGAGATGGTACTTGTAATCCCAGCCCTGGGGAGGGACCCCTAGAGCTCTGTGGCCATCTAGCCAGCCTATCCAAACAGGTGAAGTTTCCAAGCACTGTCCAAAACAAACAACCAAGTGGAAGGTATCCCAAGGAACAACATCAGAGGTTGACCTCCAACCACACGCATGAGCACACACAATTCCCTCATCAGATGAATGTGGCTGATGCACCTGCCTTTACATTGTCACAAAATGAAGGGGGGACATGTGTGAGGTGACTGGAACAGTGCCTGGTGATAAGGGTCTGGTGTTCTCTCCAAGACCAGAGCTCATATAGCTGTAGATGATAAAGACATATAAAGTCCTATCAGAGATGGGGTGTGGCCTGCTGATGGAGCACTTGCCTACCATGTGCAAGGCCCTGCATTCCATCTCCAGCACTGCAAGAATAAGATAGTAAGTAGCTGGGCGGTGGTGGCGCACGCCTTTAATCCCAGCACTCGGGAGGCAGAGCCAGGCGGATCTCTGTGAGTTCGAGGCCAGCCTGGGCTACCGAGTGAGTTCCAGGAAAAGGCGCAAAGCTACACAGAGAAACCGTCTCGAAAAAAAAAAAAAAACCAAAAAAAAAAAAATATATATTTTGCCGGGCGGTGGTGGCACACGCCTTTAATCCCAGCACTCGGGAGGCAGAGCCAGGCGGATCTCTGTGAGTTCGAGGCCAGCCTGGGCTACCAAGTGAGTTCCAGGAAAGGCGCAAAGCTACACAGAGAAACCCTGTCTCCAAAAAACCAAAAAAAAAAAAAAAAAAAAAGATAGTAAGTAAATAAATAACTCGACCATATTGGGTGCAATCTTTATGCAACATCTGTACTATCTGAAAATAAATGTAGTAATATTAAATAAACAAATCTGCCTGGAAGCCTATTATAACTGCTCATTTTAAACATTTATATATTCAGTCACCCAAAAGCATTTAAATGGTTTTAGCCATCATCCAATTAAGAATAGAAAAAAAAAACACCATCTTACAAATGAAGTTATTTATGCTATTTTGTCACAGCCTACAAGAAAATGAATTATGCATAGATTTATTAACAGTATGAAAACTTGTCCAAATCTATAACATTTTTGCATAATTTAATTTTCCATTCCAACTGCAATTTAAACATCCCGTTTCCATTTAATTATTGCATGATCTACAAGCAGAGATGTATTTTTCTTTCCCTTTTTTCAGTGGCTGTCTGGCGAAGACAGACAGACAGACAGCATGACAGGGGTGGGACTTCTGAAGTCATTAGCCAAGACCCAGACTGCGGTCTGCTTTCAATGAGGTCTGCTCGTCCTGAGGTCTCAGCACTGGAAAACTTGTGTGACAACAGTAACCCTTCACAGACAGTTGGTGCCTTTCTAGAAGGTTTGGGATGCTGTTAAACTTGGAAGGACTCTATAGAAAACCCACTGAGTAAGGGACTTGGGATCCCAGCAAGGGTGATGTTACTACTATCTGGAAAAGCATCACTCACCAGCAGTAGGATGTGACCAGACAGAACAGAGACCTCATGGTAGATTGCCCAGGGATTAAGTTTACTTCATTTCAGAAAGGGACACTCAGAGGGGTGGTTTAGGGAACGTTCAGAAAGATAGGTTGATGCCCTTTCCTGAACAGAAATGGAGGGGAATGGATTGGGGGTGGGTAACACAGAGGGGTGTGGGAAGGAAGGACTGGGGGGAGAGGAGGGAGGGGAAACTTCGGCCAGGATGTAAAATAAATAAATTTATTAAAAAAAAAAAAAAAGCACCGGGCGGTGGTGGCGCACGCCTTTAATCCCAGCACTCGGGAGGCAGAGCCAGGCGGATCTCTGTGAGTTCGAGGCCAGCCTGGGCTACCAAGTGAGTTCCAGGAAAGGCGCAAAGCTACACAGAGAAACCCTGTCTCGAAAAACCAAAAAAAAAAAAAAAAAAAAAAAAAGAAATGAAAAGACTTCCTCTTGGGATAGTTTAGACCAGGAACAAGCCCAAGTAGGAATTCTCTGTGTCTTCCATTTCTCTGTGGGTTGTGGTCTGTGGCCTATCTGTTGTCTGTCTGTTGTGTGTGTCTGTCCCTGTTGCCTGTCCCTGCGAGCTTTTTATTGAGCAGCATAGAAAATGTGGCACAGGAAAGGAATAAAGAATACTTTTTCTCAGAAAATTTTAGCTGAGTTTTACAGGGAAGAAGTTACTTTACTGGCCCAGAGTAACATTCAGAACTACAAACAGACATCAACCTATATTCGCAAGGTTGTTAAAGGTTGTTTTGTTAAAGGTTGCTGCCAACCTGTTGGCTTCCTTTAGCAAACGATAACCACAACACACACACATGCATGCACACATGCACACACACACATACATACATACACACACACACACACACACACATACATGCACACACACAATGGTCAGGGTCATGAAAGAGTACATAGTTTAAGATTAAAGGCATGCAGTTAGCTTGCGTTGTAAAAGCTGAATGCATGGGAAGTGCAAAGTTTAGCGAGGTTGATTCCATTGCTATCTTAAAGCAGGCGGTTAAACATGCTGAGTGCACAGTGGATAGCAAGCTGAATTCATGGTTCTGAATTATTTCAAGGCATATTATTAGGTTGGCTACAAGTAAGGCAAAAGTTCCATTTCTGAAAACAAGAAGTTTTCAGAAAAAATCTATCCCCACAGGTACAGTGCTTGCTGTGCGAAGCATGAAGAGCTGTGTTCAAACCTTCAGTTCGCCTGTAAATGACCAGTGAGCAGTATGTGTCTCTAACTGTAGAACTGGAGGAGGTGGGGTACAAAAGGCAGGAGCCACTGGCCAGCCAGTCTATCCAATTAGTGATGGCCAGGTTCAGTGAGAGGTTTTATCTCCGAAACTAAGGTGAAGAGCCGTAAAACCGAGCCCTTGATGTCAACTGACCTCTACATACATGTGCATACAGGTGTACATGCACCACATGTACATGTGCACACAACACACAATAGTAAAATAGTTTTTAAAGACTGGTTAATTCAGACAATCATAGAAGGAAGGTTTGTTGTTGATAACTGATGCTCACACACGCTCCAACCCTTCAGTAAGGACTGCTGTCCAGGCACCTTTCAAGTAAAACGCAAACCCAACTGAGAGAAAAGAAAGAATTGCTGATACTTTGTCATATAACTTGCATGTGGTAGATAAATCATATGGAAGTTAAAGGGGAGAAAGAGGAGAGGGAGGGACTGCCTGCTGCATGTGTAACTTGGAACATGGGTCAGACATCAGCAGTCATTGCTGCTAGAGATTAAAGAGTTTTGCCAACCCCTGCTGTGGTGGTGGTTGATAAAGCAGCACTACTATGTGCCAACCCCTGCTGTGGTGGTGGTTGATAAAGCAGCACTACTATGTGCCAACCCCTGCTGTGGTGGTGGTTGATAAAGCAGCACTACTATGTGGTAACCCCTGCTGTGATGGTGGTTGATAAAGCAGCACTACTATGTGGTAACCCCTGCTGTGGTGGTGGTTGATAAAGCAGCACTACTATGTGGTAACCCCTGCTGTGGTGGTGGTTGATAAAGCAGCACTACTATGTGGTAACCCCTGCTGTGATGGTGGTTGATAAAGCAGTACTACTATGTGGTAACCCCTGCTGTGGTGGTGGTTGATAAAGCAGCACTACTATGTGCCAACCCCTGCTGTGATGGTGGTTGATAAAGCAGTACTGCTATGTGCCAACCCCTGTTGTGGTGGTGGTTGATAAAGCAGTACTACTATGTGCTGTTTGCATTCATACAATATTTTCCAACTTTAAAGAAAGGTATTGTCGGAAGCATTGTCTATGAAAAGAATTTGCTTTCTCAGGGTATGGTGTTTCTGTTACCTAGCTCCTCCCCCCACTCCCCATTTCTGTCTCCCTCTCCCTCTCCCAT